TTTCGCCAGCATCATAGTCGGCATCATCAGTGAGTTTTGCCATTCTCCGCACCAAGCTACGAACTCGTCATAGAGACAAGTGAGGTCAATCCCTCGAAAAACGTTCTGCTGAAAACGATTACACTATCCCTCCTCTTTATGTCCTGGCCTATCTATCTACTCTTTGCCCTCTCCCACTGCCGCCTTATCACAACTTCTCACTTCTTTAGATTCCACTAGTCAAAATATGTGCCCTTTTGTGGCAAATACTTGCTATTCACCCCGACCTCTCACTTTCGATCGGCTGATCCGACTCGGGCCTCCAATCCGAATCCCCTCATTGTCTCGTAGATCCGTTTCTTATCTTTCTGGTTGACCGATTTCACTCGGTTCCAGTCCCAGAGTGTATTTAACTCCAGCCGCTATTTTTCAAGGCCATATAAGCACGTACTCTGCCGCGTCAATGAGCAGAGCGCTTAAGCTCTGATTGTCATGCTTGCAGAGATCAGGCCTTCTCTTCCTGTGTCCTCTCCTTGATTAAACCCATGTTATCTGAGCAAACTTTGGACGCCTATCTCTGGTCGCATGCGGCATCTCAAGTGAATTTCTAGTACATTTTGGCCATAACGTCGAATTTCCGTGACGGTTGTCCATGTATACATTTGCCAAAAAGGTGAGAGTGGAGATCACATCAGTAGTCCAAATATTTGCTGTTAAATGCAAAATTGGTGACCCTTACTGTCAGCTTGATTAAACGTTTTAAAGATACCCTCCGTATCTGTTCTGCCTCAAGGATATATTCTTTTCGCTACAATATCTCCAGCAGGGCGCTTACCTGAGATGTTTGCGTACATGGATTGTACGTCAAAATTTACCAGGAGTTCCGTCCCCACCAGCCCAATGCTTTGGATCCTTTGAGAAAATACCTATAATTTCGTCACATATTCGAGAGTCTGGGATTTACTTTTTTGAGCTTCAAACAAATGAATTTCGCTAGGTTCTGTGTGTTGATCCATGCTTGTTTTGAAGCTTAATCTTCGCGGATTTCCTTGTGTATCTTTGGTATTCCGTAGGCTGTCGATGGCCTTGCCTCATTTTAATTAAAGAGTTCATCATCTATTTGTCAATCTCCTTCATTATGCATTTCCTTTAGCATATCTTTCAGTGTGCCGTTGATCTCCAGTGATGTATCCTTGCTTATTATTTGATAAGTTTGCCGGTCTCCTAGGATTCTTTCAATTTTCTCCGTGTTATGTTTCCTGTCCATTACCTCGTCGCTCCTTCCTTATCCGCATGAAGAACTATCTGGTCATCCTTATGCAATTTTTTTTGCGTATAATAATAAATCTGCTCCTATGTATTGGATCTTGATGTGGCAGGATTCGTGGGATTATTTCCATTTCCATCTCACGCTTTGTCTCTTCTGGATATTTATCTGATATGTTGGCAACTTCCACAAGAATATCATAAAAAACGTTACCTTCGTTACCTATGAAAAAATTTAACCCCTTCTTTAGTAGATCCATGGTTTCAGAATGAAGAGAAAGTGAAGATAGGTTTACTACCCTATCTCTATCGTTGTTTGTAGCAGTTGATGCCTAAATACAGAACTATCAAAATTTGCCCGGGTTGGCTTGATCCTGTACTGTATAATCATCCAATATCTAAGCAATTTCTTGCCATATCGCTAATTTATCATATCCCGGACTCCAGAGAATTTCTAGAAAGAAATGTAGGTGTCATAAAGAGCATATTTCAACTCAGTTTTTATGAACATAAGATAAGGAAGTGGATATGCCTGATCTCCTGTGAAGTGAGCAAAAAATTGCGACCGCTACTAAGAAAATTGAATATTAAGTTGATAATAGAGGATAAAACAGCATTTTTCACGAGTCTGCTGACGCAACACAAAAAGCTGGAGAAACTGGATAGTTTGAGAGCTTATCAAATCAAATGAGGCAGCTGTGAGCAGAAGTATATTGGTGAAACAGGAAGAAAAATCAGCCTACGAATCAAGGAACACCAAAGACTCTGCAAAAACATGTATACGGAAAGATCCGAAATAGCGGAACACATTGCACGAGCGGAACACGAAATCGACTGAAACTCAACAGAAAGGCTGGCTGCGTGTGGTGAAAGTACGAGAAAAAGCAAGAACAGAGGGACCATCGATATCCTGACTGAGAGAAATCTAATGAACAGGAGACTTGAAGAGAGCATTAACAGCAAAAACTTTACATAGTTCCAAAGAAAACTCGGAGAAGATCAGGCAACACTAGGACCGGCAAAAGGAAGAAAACAGGATCAAGGTAACATACTAAATTTTAGGAAAAGAAATCGCAAGACCAGATAGGAATAATCTGAAGCCAAGAGGATACAGCTACAATAAGCCTAATCAAAACAAGTAGGACCACAACATTTTTGAATTAGCACACAAGACACTAGGGCGTAGGAAGTCATAGACTTAGTATTATGGATGGAAATACGATAGATTCGGCGGAGACTAGAGCTAGTTGGCTAACAGTGGACGTTTTAGATCATATAGGTGGTCTGTGAATCAAAAGCTTGACCATGAGAATTACCCAATACACATGTCGAACAGTGAAAGGGGGATCTATAGCCTCAGCCTGAGAATCCAGACTTTGTGGGCCTATTCAGCGAGGCGGGAATACACGTGCCACCAAAGGCATGATTTAAAGCGGGGAAAATAAGGCCTCGAGTAGGATGGATGGGGTGGCAGGGGTCGAATGAAATACCTGAACCAAGGAGATAAGAGAAGGAGCCTGCGAGACAAAAAGGAGAATCTGATAAGACTTATAGGAAGAGGATTGAGGATAAAAGGGCTGATTTAGATAAACAACAAGGGAGAGTGAGAAAGCCAGCGTGGGGTGTGAAGAGGTGTCATGAAATCTGGTCAAAAGGGCACACTATACAACATTTAAATAAGCAATTAAGAAATTGTGATAGTGAAGAAGTGACACAATAATATAGGATAGTTGAATACCACAGGACAGGAGAGATACCACATCTGTTTAGCAGACAATTGGTCAGCATCGACTACACTTGTCCCTTTGACGAATTGTAGTGTGGTTTTAAGAATGGCAAGGCTCACTCACGATGCCGGCGAAATGCCTGGGAATGTACTAAGTCCTCGGTCCGACCCTGCAAATTATCACGCATGCTATGGACTCCGGACAAGGTGCGTTACTCTATGTCTTTCTGCCAATATGACCAAGTCACAAAAACAAAGTCAAACAACTACTTTACAACGTATTTGCTTCACTCATACTTTTAACAAGAGAAACAAAGCCAAAATAATACATGGAGTCTGAGTCAAAGAATTCTGCTGGGATTAGTAGTTACAATAATTTAAATCAGGCCAACCTTAAAACTTACTATCCCATCTTCTCCTCCCTAATAAGGCTCAATACAGCTGGAGGAGGAAGTTGTAGGGGTAACGCCAGATCCGGTCTTGCATCGAGGAAATTTGATTCGTTTTTAGGCCCAGCAAGGCTAGAGGCAGCCTGAGGGGCACTGGTGGCTGAGATTAGAGAAGTGGTAGCAGCAACGATGCCATTTTGGAAGCTAGTAGAAACGTAATCCGAAGTTGGTAACTTCTCAATCTGCCAAGAAGTAGAAAAATGGCGGAGAAAATTGAAACAAGCTTACATCATGCTATCATATGTATACACATAAGAGAGAGAGGGAAAGAAAAAGAGTTCTACAAGTGTACAACAGCAATGACTGTAAAGTACCAAGGAAAGAGTGGATATATAAGGAATATTTATTTCAGGGTAGGATCAACATAATAATGTAGCTTTCTACAAAAAATACATTATCTACGAGACGCAAATTAAAGATGTCGACTTCCAAGCAGATTATGCAGACTAATGCGGCTTTAAAACTTATTTGAAAAATATTATCACATGGAAGACGGGTTAACCCACAATGAAAAGGCCGGTCTAACTAATATAAATTTCCAAGAGTATGGTGCTCAATCAGTCGTCAAGTTTGTTTTAGGAGCTTGATGGACTAAAATTCCTTAGAATATTTGGCAACCAATTATCGATTAAGTTTAAACCTAGAGAATAGACTATAATTATTTATCAGTATGAGTCTACCTGGTAAAACTTACGAATACATATAGGTTGGAAAGTTTATAGAATCATGGATTCGATAAGGCTGTATTTTGGCTGACTTTTGTCGCTGCTAATAGGAATATGAATTTCTAAAGAGACACGATATTTTATTATGGTCTTAAGAGGATTGCGAATGAGTATAAACATGAGAAATTGAAAAGGTTAGATTTTGTAATGAGATTCAATGTAGAATGAATCATAAAAGGCTAATCCGAGAAGGGTTTAATTATAATCGATATATATAACATTGTAAGAAAAGAACGCCCTTTTCTAAGAACGTAGAGGGAATAAAAACATCTAAGCTCCGTCAAAAGGACTACCAGAGCTATTCACAAGTCACTATATAATTGCTCTTGTTAATATCCGTTTTAGGCTTAATGCAATTGCATTTAATGTCCATGAAAAGTAGGTTTCAAGACTCTTATTAAATGGAAGAGATTCGCAAATTTGCCTCACCAGGTAGCGAAGGAGGGTTTGACTGCCTTGGACATGTGACTGCTGAATTTTGCGAAGAAGACCTCGGCTCACCTTACTTGGTTTAGTGTTTTTTGGTGAATGTTCCTGAATAATGGTAGCTGGCTCAGATGATGTCAGCCAAATGACGGAAGAAAGCTCAATACGGAGCCATCGGGGTCGTAGAATTGTGAGCTCAGGCCTGCTTCTCACAACCCAAGTCACAAGTTCAAAGGAATCATTCTTCGAAATCCGGTGAGGCAAAGTTACAACTATCATCCATCCGCCTTTTCATACAAAATGAAATATATGCCAGTATCCATCTACTGAGATTCTTCAAAACCCAGCTTCTTTTCATGTTAAGAGTTTTAGTCAACCTAGGGCGCATGAGGAAGGACTGATAATTTAATTTTCATACAATAAAGACCAGACCTCTCCCATATCACATTTTTATAGTGGGATTGTTGATGAAGCAGACTTGTATTTTGTCACTACGATCGAAAAGGATACTTACATCCATAGAAACTAAGTTTTGATACTAATATTAAATCTCTCGAAAGGGTTTAATGGTATTATGGAACTTGCTCGTATCGTTGTGAGAAAGTTCAATTATCATACTCAGTGTACGTGACCTAGGCTGACTAGAACTCTTACTTAGTATCGTTTAGTTGTATTTTTGCTTCCGAATTCAATTACACGATGAAAATAAATGATCAACAGACCACATCTTTGTCTTCATATCTAAGAGAAAACTTATTGGAGGCCGATTTAGATATTATGCTCATTACGACGCACTTGATTACATTAATCAATAAAAGGGAAGTTAAAGTTAAATACCACCCAAGAAATGTGTGCAATTCAAGTAGAAAACTCAATCGATTAAGAGATGAGATTTAGTTTGAATGATTTTTATTTAGACAATAGCCATTGTGTGAAAAAGTAATATTGAATTATTTAATAAAGTATAAGGGAGCAAATTTGTGAAAGCCTATTTGACTCTTCAAGTGCGTTTATCCTTTGGTTGCTAGGGTGCATATAGTTCCAATTTTACTCAGGTTATTTCTGTTCTTTGTTCTATCTAATGGATTACCTAATAAAAGAAGTGAATGCAGGTTCGG